CTACCACCCCTAGTTTGCACCATGAGGCATGAAAAAGAAATTGCCCCGAGTTCCCGGCGCCCCTTTAATGGGGCAGAGGTGCGAAGAATCTCCGGGAGTAAAACCGGCCACGAGGTTCACCACCCGTCACGTTCTGTCTCCCGGAGGGGCGAAAGGTGAATTGCAGAGGCCCGTCTGGCTACGCTGAATGTATGTGGAGCAATTAATGATAACATGGATGAATTATGCGAAATGATGAATGACAGAGGAATAGATGTTATGTGTTAATGAGACGTAAAGAAAGGGAAGGGATGCCACTGCACTTGGCATATATACGGCGTATTGGTCTGGTGTAAACGAGACTGAGCGGGCATGCCAGGGAGTCGGTTTCACCCTTTCTGAAAGAATGGGTCAATGTGTGAAAGAGTATGAACGTGTAAGCCCAAGGCTACTATGGATACGAATGAAAGTGAGCTTAAAGAAGCTGTCTGTGCTAAGGGTGTACGCCCCAGACGAGTCTAAGCCCACTTACATCCGAGAGCAGTTTTGGGACATGGTAAGGATGGTGTTGATGAAATGTAAGGAAAATGAAAATATTATTATGTTATCAGACTTTAATGGAAGGGTTGGGGTGAAGAGGTCTGGTTATGAAAGGATATTGGGAACGTTTGGTGATGAAAGTATAAATGAGAATGGTAAAAACCTCCACACCATATGTCTATAAATATTTTCGTCATAAGAAGATTCACATATATACATGGGAAAGAGGTGATAATAGAAGCATGATAGATTTCATTTTTGTACATGAAAAAATGAGGAGTGCAGTCGTAGATACAAGGGTTTACCGGAGGTCCAACATAGGGACGGATGCAATAGAGCGTATAAGAATAGAGAAGTTACAAGATGATGTGAAAGAGAAGTATAAATGTAGATTGAGGGAAAATGTTAGGTATTTGAATGAATTGTGTATGAATGATTTAGACTTGAATACTGTGTGAGATAATGTTAAGAAAGGTTTGGTGGATGCAGCCACCGAAGTATGTGGTGTAAGTAAGAAAACAAACGAAAGGAAAAATAATACGTTGTGGTGGGATGATGAGGTATGGGTGGAAGTTGAAGCAAAGAAGAAAGATATAGAGATTAGATTTACGAACAAGCAAGCTGGAAATTTTAGTGCTATGAATAATGAGATTGAAAGAAAAAAGGCAGAATTTAGACGTCTAAATAAAGGGGTAAAAGAAGTAGTTGAAAGGAAAAGCAAGAAAGAACAGATAAGAATAATAGAAGGATATCTGATAACTTCCAGGCTAATATTAAAATTTTCTGGAAACTCGTAAGAACTGCCAGGGAAATACAAAACAGCCTAGAATGAATGCCATTCGAGACAAAAACGGATGTGTTCTGAGTGACAAAGTTTCGAATATAAAGAGATGGAAGGAATACTTTGAGAGCGTGTTTATGAGTGAAGAGTTGTCTGAATTAAATGAACTAGAAATTCCGATAGAAGGGGTATGGAGATAGGTGTAGATGAAATAATGAAAGCAATGAAAAGCATAAAAGCAGGTAAGGCAGCTGGATATGATAGAGTATCATTCGAGATGGTAAGGGCTGGAGAGGGAGTGGACACAGGCCTGCTGTACTCCTTGTTTAATTTATGTTGGGATTTGAAACGGGTACCGGAAGACTGGTGTAAAGCAGTTATAGTACCAATATATAAAGGAAAAGGGTTACAGCAGGACTGCAAAAACTACCGTGGTATCTGCTTGCTTAGTATTGTGGGTAAACAGTATGCTAAGGTGTTAATTGAAAGAGTTATGAAAGAAACTGATGGAAAAATTTGGAATGTTCAAGCGGGAGTTTAGAACTTTAGAAAGGGAAGGGGGTGTTCAGATCAAGTCTTTTCCATGCCCATAATTGCGGATAAGTTTTTGGCCAAAGATCAGACAGTTTTTGTGCGTTCATGGACTTGGAAAAGGCTCATGACAGAGTGGACAGAACTGTGTTATAGCAAACACTGAACTCATTTTGGTTAAGTGCTGTTTTGATACAGGCATTAAGGTCTCTTTATAGGGACTCTACTGCTTGTATCAGGATCAACGGGGTTTACTCTGACTGGTTTGGCATCCAAAAAGGTGTCAGACTTGTGTAGCTTCCCCTTGGCTGTTCAACCTATTTATGGATAGTTGTTTGCAAACTTTGAAAGTTGGAGAATGTGGGTTAAGAATGGGCGAGTTAACCGTCAAATGCCTTTTGTACGCCGATGATCAAGTGATATTTGCGTTGTCGGCGGCTGAGTTGCAAATGATGGTTACACTAATGAACTGGGCATTAAAAGAAAAGGGAATGAAAGTGAACGCAAGTAAGACGAAAGTGATGGTTTTTGAAAGAGAAACAAGTAAAACGTTATGTGAAATAAGAATCGAATGTTAGGGATTGAGCAAGTGGATGAGTTCGTGTATTTAAGATGTGTATGTAGTAGGATGGTAGATATAATAAGGATATAGAACAACGAGGGGAATGCAGGAAATAGAGTGAAATGGGTTCTACACTCCACTATGAAGAATCAGAATGTGTCCAAAACGCACGTATGGTAATTCATGCGCATGGTGGTAAAAGTTGGGTGTGGCAGAAGAAGCACGAAAGTAGAATAAATGCTGTAGAAATGCGGTCTTTAAGGAGTATGTTAGGGCTGAATGGCTCACGGGGATGGCGACAAGCTCAAAAGACGTCGACGGTGCCATTCTTTAGGATGTATCTCCAATAGTTTTGGTCTTAATAACCTGATCCTGTATTGCACAGACAAAACCCTCGGTTTCCCCGAAGAGGTCACCGAAACGTAGCCAGTTGATTGAGGCGACTGTATCTACGAAGGGCTCATGTAGAGCCCTGTAGTACCTCCCGTGAAGCTCCTTCTCCTTCCGTACGGTCTCCCGGTCGGCAATGCTAAGCACTGCTGGGTCTTGCCATTGCTCGTTGGCTATTGATAGAGGGGTAAGCCCTTTATCACTAAAAAATGACGTCATTATAGAATTGTTCATCTGATCTCACCAGGAAGTTATGACGGAGGCTGCACACTTCGCGATTATGCATGGTAAGCGTGCTCAGAAAGCCACGCCCACCATGCTTTCGCGGCAAGTACAGCTTCATTACCGACGATCTCGAATGATGCATCCTATGGGATGTCATGGTAGTGCGGATTTCTATCCAGGGCGTTAAGTTTAGTCTCAGTCCACCTGAGTATGCCAAAGGTATATATGAGGACAGGCATGACGCAACCGTTATATGCGTGTGTCTTATTCACACCGGACAAAAGGCTGTTAAGCACTTTGGTCAAGCGTGCATAAAACACGTCGCAAACTGACAGTTTCATACCATCCTCATCGATACCGATGTTCTGTGACATACCCAGGTATCGGTATGTTTCAGCCTCGGAAAGGATCCTGAAGTTGACGGGCATAGAGAAGTCAATGCCCTCAGAGTTAGCAACCCTTCCCCTTTCAACATGGAGGACCGCACACTTATCCGTCCCCAGCTCCATTTCAATGGAATTGCTAAATTCACAAGTAATGTTTAACAATTCCATAAGATGAAGCGACTGGAGGCGAATAATTTGAGGTTATCCATATAGAAAAGGTGGGTCACCTTTGTCCCTCCTTTCCGTAGTTGAAGTCCCCTCCCGGAGCCCTCCAGTAAGGTACTGAGAGGGTTCAGAGAGAGGCAGAACCAGATTGGACTCAGACAATCGCCCTGGAAGATATCCCTTTTATCCTTATGTGGTTCTCCGCAGCCATAATCCTCTCGCCCAGATGACAAAGGATCGTACTCCACTGCCCCATACACTGCTCGAGGAAGTCTCTAACTGTACAGTCTATCTTGTACAGCACAAGGACTCTCTTTAGCCATGTATGGGGCACCGAGTCGAATGCCTTTCTGTAGTCTATCCAGGTGGCGAAGAAGTTCCGATGGTTGCGTTTCACCACTTTGCCAATGACCGCGTCAATGAGGAGTGGTTTCTTGGTTCCACGACCACCGCCCCGACAAACATTTTGAGTGCGTGACATCACCTGATTTGGCTCTAGGTGACGAGTGATTCTCGCGCTCAAAATGGATGTCAGTGTCTTTTATATGGTCGGTAGACACGTGATGAGGCGGTATATGCTCGGGTCTGTGGTATACTGATCTTTAGGAACCTAGTGAGTGATCCCAGTAGTGAAGAGGTCCGGGAGCGACTTCTGATCGAGAGCCTCTTGAAACTGTCGGGCGAGCGCAGCGTGACACACTACGAACCCCTTCAGCTAGTAACGATGCATCGTCGAGCCCCGGACTTTTCCAGTTCGAGGCTCTACGGACCGCCTCAGCCACGTCTTCTGGCGTTATGGTGACGGAGTCCATAGGTGTAACACTCGCACTCTGGCTCGCCACAACTTCCATCCAAGTGCCCCGCTGTGGTTTACGGGCTCTGACCACAGGCCACGCTAAAATGCGACAGTATTAACCTGATCCGGTCCTGGGCCCGCTCCACTTACCTCTGGTCGCTCCAATGATTTATAGAGCCTCTTCTGATCACTCTGGAAGAGATGATTCTGGTTGAACCGCCTTGACCTCTCGGTAAATTGTCGATACCACTTCCCTCAAGCAGCGATCTTTTGCTTCAGGTCGTCTATGCGCTCCGTTAGTTTCTGCGTGATATCCGGCTGGGACAAACTGATATTTGTCCCAGCAAACGCCATTCTAACGGTGCGCACAACCCTCAGTCTATTATTACCCGACCTGAAGCTTGTCAGTCTGCCGATAAGGGCCCTTGCCTTTGCGATACGGTCCTCAATTCTTTTTCACCAGGCAGGGATGGCGCTACTTTGTTTAGTAGCGCGACCAGCCATGGGAATTTTGGCGCCAATAATACGGCAAACTACCACTGCGACGCCAAAAAGAACTGAGTCCGTCTCACAAAGGCCCCAGCTGGCTTCCAAATACATTACCAGCATTGGGTTAAGAGCCCTCATGACAGCGATGCGACGATTTCACTTGCTTTGGTGTATGCGGAGAAGTCGCGGTCGAGTTTTGAGAGGCATGCTGCGCGTTTCCAAAATCGACTCTTTCAATATACCCCTCATTTGCTCTAGGGAGATCATTTCATCATCGTCCGAATCAACCACAACTGGTAGATCCATGGCGGTTTCCACGCATGGATGCTGGTCTGTCGCCTGAGGAGCCGCATTCCCAGCGATAGTCAATTCATTTGATGAGGGAATGGCCTCACGTCGTAGTCGTTTGAGCTCGGCATCATCAAATATTTTCGAGCGCATGATTTACCGAACTCGGTCTGCCAGGTTTTGTTCCGTGACGGGAATAGACGGCTCCAGCTCAGCAAAAAAGCAATGCATCCGAGCCCGATACGCTATCCCTGCAGTTTCTTCCCCTTTCGCCCTATAGTACGCCCGCAATGTTTGCGTTCATATTTTTTGTCCAACGCATGCGGCGCACTCCACCAGTGGCGGATGCCCCTTGTAAGGCAATAAGGCGTAGGGAAGTGACGACCCCATCGCCCGCTGACGTAACAGTTATGTGACAAAACTGCTACGTCGGCGCAGTCAGTCAGCTGCGCTCTGTCTCATTTCTGTACAATACGTATGCATAAATCTATCTATTCCGTGTGCGAAAGCGAAAGAAGGCGTCAATTTGTCTATAGGTTTCTCTGTCTACGCACTAAAGGGATTAAACCAATAACTAAACAAAAATTGTGATTTGTGAGTGACATGAGCAATGAGCATGACCATGGAGGTTAGAGAATAGGAGAACGATCCCTACATGCTAAAGCCATTACATTTACAGTATACAGAGAAACCTATAGACAAATTGACGCCTTCTTTCGCTTTCGCACACGGAAAAGATAGATTTATGCATACGTATTGTACAGAAATGAGACAGAGCGGTGTGATTGTTTGTCCCTTTCTCCGTACCGGTTTTTTTGTTTCGCAAACTACACTTTGCTAAACAACTTTGACAGTTCGTAGCGATCTAAGGAGTTTACAAGTTGGTTTAAGTGAGAAAAAAGTGTTTTGTGAGCTTAAGATTGGTGAATCTTGTTCAGTTCAGTTCCTAGTTTATCTTAACATGTTTAAAAGTCATAAACATTATTGCCTAACCTAAAACTACGCTATCGTCCTTTCTCACTCAAGGCCACGCTAATCATTAGTCTATTGGTTTCTCTGTTTAGGGGTATATATATTCTGAGGTTATTAGTCTCTAGTATATATACACAGTAATCTACGTTATTAGTATTTTTATAACGCTAGCTTTAGGCTCAGAAAAGTTAGAACCCACAGCCGTAAAGCCAGTTAATAAAAAAATATGTCTGGCATGTTGTTAGACTACTGACTATGGGTGCGTTTGGCAGAAAAAAGCGCTAGCAAGCGCTTACAAGCGCTAAAATAGTTTTCGGCCAGGACACGATTGCTACTTCAGTAGCGCTGACACAATCCGCCATTTTGCTTATTTAATTTGTTTGTTTTGAAGTAGAGTTTATAATTATAAGTTGTTTTGTGCAATATTAGTTTTAAGTAATATAATGACATGAATAAACATATATATGTTATTAAAAATTCACCATTGGTAAGTTTTTAATATGAATACTTTACAAACATATATTTAAATTAGGTTAGGTTCCCCGGTTAAAACTAACATCGTGTCCTGGAGGAAAATAGCTACTTACGATTTGACAGCGCTTACCGCTTACGATCGCCATTTTGCTTACAAGCGCTTGCTAGCGCTTTTTTCTGCCAAACGCACCCTATGTTTGTTATTTTTCTATGTAAAGTGTAAACTGTAAATGTTGAAAATGCTGCAATGAGTCCTTAATTGTGTTATTAGAAAACGTTTATATCATGTCAAGTCTATCATCATCAAGTAGTAATAAAAATCACACTAAAAAGTTGAACAGCGGAAGAGAACGTGATAAAAATAAGTCTGTTGCCTCAGAATCTGGCGGATCTAGTCAATGTGATACTCCACCTCTTTCAGAGAAGGTAAGCTAAATGGTCTCTTAATATAATATGTAATTTCTACAGTTTCTTAATTATGTAGGCCGTATTAATTTGGTTAATTTATAGACCGAGAGCTGGCTACATAAAAAAAAATAGCTTAAGGTACACGCTTGATTTGTGTTAAAAAAGAAACCTTTGGTGTAGCAGAATATAAGTTTACCTGTCTGCCTTCCGCCAAGTTGGGGCATATGGGGCTGCCCCAGCTTAAGCTAAAGCTTGAGTTAAACATGGCAAATATAGGGGGAAAACTTTGTAAAGTACATGGATTCTAATTACGCAAAAATCTTTTATTTATATTGAAGAAACGAGGAGATATTTTGGCAAGCAGTTTGCTAGGAGCTTACATACCACGCGACGTAAAGGCATGTTAACAAAAAAAAAATCACAACAAGTTCTCATAAAACACACTCAATTTAAACAATCAGGCACTTCTCATTCATTCAGCATGGCCATCTTTATATGCTTATTATATCTTTTTCTGTATAACCTGTATAACTACAATTATTTCCGGTTCTTAGTAAAGTTTTTATAATTTATTCAATAAATGGTGCTTGTGTTTTTGTATTTCAAAAGACAAGTTATAGCCCCCCAAGGTGTTAAAAAAATTTATAAACCTATTGCTGTTTTTAAAGTTTTATATAAAATTATTGTAACCTAATGCACAATGGAATTTTTTTGTATGCAATATTAGGATGTGTAGATATGTAGATAGTACCAAGTATGTAAGGATATCAATTACTCCATATTGTCCCGTGGGTATTCTAAGGGGTGAATGAGGGAAGTAAATTCAGAGATGGGCAGCAGCATCTTCCTAATAACGACTAACAACTGTGATTACCAACCTGTTTGCCAAGTGTGGCAACTATGGCAAATATCTCCCCTATGAGACAATCTGTGGGGGGAGGGGCTGTGTAAAGCAGTGGACTTTAATAGGCTGTAAGGGTAGTGGTAGATGATACAGTATTGACCATACACTCATCGGGATAGATTTTTTCATTTAACACATAACTTGACAATACTGAGATATGAGAATACTATTATGCACAAAATATTTACAATCCTGATAGTTATCTGGCCCTAAAAATCCCGGGACTGTACTTTGCTATTCTTGGGATTTTTGGGATTGCCACAAACAGGTCTAGTTTGCATTCTGTAGTATGTTATGCCCTGACAATAACCTTCATCATCATCATCATTACAGCCCTTTACAGGTCCACTGCTGAACATAGGCCTCCTCCAAGGTATGCCATAAAGCACGGTCCTGAGCCACCTGCATCCATCGACTTCCTGCATGTCTTACCAGGTCGTCACTCCATCTAGTGGGGGGTCGCCCTACACTTGATCTATATTAATAGTATATTAAAATATACTGCACAGGTAAACTTTATAATGTTTCTGTCCTGAACTTTCTTTCAAAAAAAGAAAATGTTCTATATTATAGACGCTATACTATAGCGTAACTAAATAAGGCCGATGCCTTTCGTCACAAAGGCGCCCCTGCGTACGGGCCCCGCATGCCCTTATGGTAAAGACGGTACTGGCTGTGGCTGTTGATTATATGAACGACAGCGATGATGATGACCATTTAGAATACTTAGACTGTCCTGAATTAGGTTTAATCTTAATGTCACAAGATGATTTTGTCCGAGAAGTGTGAGAACACATACCAAAGTTAATATGAAATAAAGATGAAAACATTAATGAGTTGATAAAAAAAATCCGCAAAGATGTAGTGTATTTCAGAAGATCACCATTAAAAATTAAATAGTACTTCAAAAATATGTGAAAATTGAACATGGAAAAGAGCTTCATTTATAAGATGTTGACTTTGAATTGTTAAATAAAATTGTTGATGTGTTGACCCCAATTAAATTGACAGTAGAAGCAATCTGTCGGCGAGATGCTAATTTATGCACAGCTGATGCTGCTTTGAAATTTCTTATAAAACAACTGTCTATCAAAAACCTCAGCATTTGCTAAAAAAATGATAACATCTTTAGTGGAACATATAAAGTATAAAGCAACAACAAAGTGATGATTTTACTGGGTGTAGAACTATTTACAAAATCCACGAAAAGATGAAAAAATTCAGTTATTATCTGATTTCGAATGGCATTACTTATTTCCAGTTCTTACACAGGCTTTAGTGAGGAAGCAAATAAAGAGTATTGTTAAAAGACTTAATAGCCGAGCCGAGCCGATGATACTGAAGAAGAAGAAAGGTCAAAATCACAAACAGATGAAGAGCTAAGGCCAGAAAACTCCCAACCCCAATTGACATTAAAGGAAAAGTTACAGCTGGAAATTGATAGGAGTATGAAATCCCCAGACCCTGAAGTACAACTACAAAGTGAATCTTGGCAAGTAGTATTAGTTGTGAAATGAGCCTGTTTGAAAATGGAGGAGTTTGTGGATATCACTTAGAAGTAGCATATAAGTATTTATTGTCTATTCCTCCAACCAGAGTAGAACCTGAGTGAGCATTTTCAGCTGCTGCTTATGATGGCAATAAGTTACGAAGCAGGCTTGGAAGTCAAACATTGGATGCTTTGATAATTTTTTGGTTGAATTTTTGAAATTCTAAATAATTTTTTGTGTTGTCGTTTTTTTTAGTTTTGTCTATTTAATTTTTTTTTTACTATATTGTGACTTGTGTTGTGTAACAATATTAAAAACATTTTTTTAAGAAATTACTCAACTTTTTTCATTTGTGTCCTATTAGAAACCACATAGTCTAATACCGGGATAGCCCCAGGATTCCGGGATTACGCATTAAAAATCGCTTAATCCCGGGATTGACAAACATGCTAGGGATTTTATTCTTTAACTGAGATCCATATTGGCCACTCTCAGCATTGATTTCGTGGGGCACCCGTTTGTCAAGCTTTTTTACTTTGCCAATTTTACGAGAATGAACCAACATTGTTTTGATTCAAACATCAAAAAGTACTTTATCATTAATCATACAAAGAGTCATAAACACCATAAATCACTGGTGTAGTGATAACAGTTTATTACTTAATGCTGATAAGTGTTATAATAAACCTTTACCAAAAAGAGACGGACAAATTAGTCACACCAAAACTCAATGGTAAAAAGTACCATTCTCCACTGAAGTTAAGTACTTGGGCATACTGAAAGGCCAGGTTTACTGTGAGTTCGGTAGCCTTATATGGTATGTTGATGGGTCAAAAATGGGCCTCGACATAGACTTTGGGATTTATGCGAAACGCCCCAAATTCGAACTTAGTATGAATTTGGGT